TTCAAAAGTAAGTCAACGAGGACAGATTAGGCAGGGGCGAGGGGTGGTATATCCTTCCCACGGTAAGTAATTAATGCTGTCCATCTGGGCCTTCCAACCATAATCGGGAGGAGCGTAGGGTGTGTATATGATGTATTCCATTTGACTTGCCGGTGGAATAGGAACCGGGCTGATGCTCCCCAGAACGGACATGGATCCAGAACCGTAAGGTTCTGTTTAAAAAAAAAAAGAGGAGGTCGACATACTCATCCTGAACGAACTCTCAGAGTGCCTTCTGGATAGACTTGCACGCTTGCCCTCCGGATAGACTTGCACACTTGCCCTCTGGATAGACTTGCACACTTGCCCTCTGGATAGACTTGCACACTTGCCCTCTGGATACACTCGCACACTTGCAGATTTGCCCTCTGGATACATGTGCACACTCGCACACTTGCCCTCTGGATACACTAGCACACTTTTGTCTTCCAGATACATTTCCACACTTGCCCTCTGGATACACTTGCACACTTTCGCACTTGCCCTCTGGATACACTTGCACCCACTTTCGCACTTGCCCTCTGGATACGCTTGCACACTTTTGCCTTCTGGATACACTTGCACATTTGCCCTCCGGATACAGTTGCCCACTTGCATACTTGCCCTCTGGGTACACTTGCACACTTGCCCTCTGGATACACTTGCACACTTCTCCTCAGGACACACTTGCACACTGAGAGTGCACACTTGCCTTCTCGATACACTTGCACACTTGCCCTCTGGATACAATTGCACACTGACAATGCACACTTGCCTTCCGGGTACACTTGCACACTCACACTCTGGATACTTTTGCATACTTCCCCTCTGAGAGTGACTTCTGGATACGCTTGCACACTTCCGGGGGACGTTCCACTTGCACACTGCAACAATGTCTCGTGGAAGGTCTTGCAGAAAGGCGAGAGTTTTTTATATATATATATATGTCTGATTGCCTTTTGAAATGTGTGAAAGTGGAGACAGCATTGTGGATGGTGGAAGCCCGTGAGGGCCTATCCATTGATCAATACACTCTACAGTCTGTGTTCCATAGTGATGGTAGGCATTCGTCAAAGCGACTCGCTGAATCTTAGAGGTGGGCATGAACCTCTTCCCCBCCCCCCCCCCCGATCGCGGACGGATCAGATATCAAGCTGATCAGTGATTCACTGACAACATGTGTTTAGGGCATCATGCCCTGCACAGGACCGAAGTATCGTAAACATTACAACCCTTGGAGGTGTTATAAAACTGGATCCATACCGGTCGTGATATCCAGCCCACCTCCAGGGCGGTAGCGTCCTTCAACTCACACCAGACACACACACAGCACACCACGGACTCGACAATCCATGCACAGTCCGCTCAGCCAACAACACGCAGCCCACCACCGCTGCCTAACCCGGTCACTTGTTCTATTTTTAGCCAAAAACTACAGTCTGTAGAGCTCTACCTTTTTTTTTTTCTGGTGCAAGTGCTTCGTCCGTGCTGTCTGTCTGGACTGCCTTGCCTTTGCTTCCCTACAGCTTGGTGGCATATCGGCCGCTGTTTCGTTTGTGGATGTCCTCTTCCCGACCTCGAGACTTGCCTCTTGCTTGCCTCTCTTGCCCTGTAGTCCCTCTGCCTGCCTGCCTGCCTGCTTACCTCTCTTGCCCTATAGTCCCTCTGCCTGCCTGCCTGCCTCTTTTGCCCTGTGGCTCTGCTGATGTGCTTCCCTTGCCTGGCTGCCTCCCTGCTATCCGCCTTGCTGCACGCCCGCTTGCTTACTGGATTGTTTGCCTGGCTGTGACTGGCCTTGTTGTTTTACTGTGTGTGGGGGCTGTCCTCTTGCCAGATGCGTTGATGTAAAAGCTGCACAGTTTTCCGTCAATAAGTCTGAGTTTTTCCTGAGCAGATTGCCTGTTTTTGCCGGACAGGTTTGAACTGAGATTTTGGAGATTTTGGAGGTTTGGGAGATTTGGGAGATTTCGGAGATTTGGGAGATTTGGGAGATTTTGGAGATTTTGGAGATTTTGGAGATTTTGGAGATTTTGGAGATTTTGGAGATTGCTTTGAAAATGGCTTGCCTTGGATACAGAATTGTTATACATATTTGCAATAAAACTCAATGTGTGAGGCTTTACTTTCACGGTGAACGTACCGAGTCCATGGCATTGGATACAAAGTACCGCGGCCACCCTTGGACGAATCTCTGTCTTTCACCATAAGTTTTGGTTGACCAAGTGCTTTCTGTACCCACCTGTCCATCGAAGCTTTGATTTGGGCCTAGCTAGCGGAAGGAGTCTGGAGGACTTAACCTGCAAATACTGCACTCTAAGGGGCAGTTCGGTAAGTTGGCTACAGAAACCAGGGACAAAGGTTCTTGCGGGGATGAACTTTGTAAAATTTTGGACTGTGGTCCTTAACCTGAGGGCCATGACTGGATTTGAGCTCCTTACCCGAGGGTCATGAGCTCCCCAGGAGGACTCTACTGGAATATGGAAACCGGAGATGGGTAGGGCTGAGTTCGGGTAGCGTCTGGAGTGGCCAGGTAGTGACGCTGCTTGCCGCTGCAGATATATCACCTGCTGGGCAAGTCAGATGCTCAGCTTTCAGCTTGCTGGACTGACTGGATTGAATCTCTGCCCTGAGGGTGAGGTGGGACCAGACAGCTGAGGTGCAGGAGGACGCGTGAGGGTAAAGAAGAAGGCCTTCATGGCTATGGAGGTGAAGGAGGAGGAAGAAGAAGAGTAGGGTGGGGTATGGTGCCACAGAGGTGAGTCCACATCGGGCTAGAGAGGCAAATAGGTGCCCTGTCTAGAGTAAGAGGAGGAGGAAGTAGGAGGCAACTGTGCTCCAAAAGCGGGACGATCTTCAAAGGATAGTCGTTCTTCCTTTTCTCAAGGGCAGCAGGGTTGCATCCCTGCCGACCGCCAACCCCAACCGCCGACCGTATTGCAGCCGACCAGTAGGGCCGACCGGTCGGCAGTCTGGCGACCAGTCAGGAAAAAAAGAAAAAAAAAAAAAAGAAAAGAAAGAAAACAACCATCCACTGATTTTTTTTCAAATCTGAGTTGGGGGCTGTACTGCGCTTGCTGAGTACAGCCCAAATCCGCTGAGAAACTTTTGGGGATGGGGGGGGGAATGGAGGGGCTGGGGTTGGAGTATGGGGGGATATAGGGGTGATATAAGGGGTATTTGGGGGGGTAATGAGGGTGTTGGGGGCAGTTTGGGAGTGTTGTGGGGGTGTATGGGGGTACTGGGGGCCGATATGGGGGTGTTGGTGATAGGGGTTCTGGACCCCCCCCAAAAAAAGATTTTTTTGCAGGGTGCCGACGACCCCCGACCGGTAGGTGCCGACCAGCCGATCGGTCGGCGGGTCGGCAGCCGACCAGTCAAGGGCCGCCGACCGTTGGGGGGTGCAACCCTGAAGGGAAGTGAAATTCATCGGACATTGATTCGTTGTTCATAGATTCATTGTTTGACTATAATTTGTCAGTAAACAGGACGAGGAGAGTTTGAGTGCGATGATGAGGTGACAAGATGAAGAGGGAGGGAGATGACATTTGTATGCTTCTTCTTCCTCTTCTTCTTTTTCTTCTCTTTCTTCCTTTTTCTTTCTTATTTCTTCATCTTCTTCATTCTTCCTCTTTCTTCCTCTTTCTTCTTCTTTCTTTTCTTCTTTTCTTCTTCTTACTGCTTCTTTCTTCTTCGATCCTTAATCTTTTCTCTCTTTTCTCTCATTCACTTCCCTCTGGTGTTGAAATTCGTAGCATGGTCCTCAAATCTGACTCTTGCATCATGAATAAGCTAGGATCATAACAGTTGAAGTAGATTATGAATCAAAACATCAAGATAGGGATTTTGTGGAGGGTTCAGCCTCCTGATGAATCAGTGAGAGTCAAATGAAACAGTCTGATATTATCCTTGTTCTTTTCTTGTTCTCCTTTTCTCTGTGCTTTCCCTGTTCATGATGCAAGCCGTGCTTTTAAAGTCTTATCAGACTCTTATGAGAGAATTGTCAGGAGGAGTCCTGAGGGATGGTGGTCCAGAGGACTTTGTGCTAAAGATTCATTTGTATGTATTATTATGCAGACTCACCATCACACACAAAGGTGAGGATCTGACCTGAGAGAGAGAGAGAGAGAGAGAGAGAGAGAGAGAGAGAGAGAGAGAGAGAGAAAGGAAGGAAAGGGAGAAGGAAGTGTTAACCAGATGGATAGAGAAACAGTCTCAGAGAGGAAGGGAAGGGAAGGGAAGGGAAGGGAAGGACAGGACATGAAATCAATGGAGCAGAGTTGTTCTTCAACAACAGTCGGCACAAGAACTATGCAGACGTAGGCATTCTGCAATGACCAATGGTGATGCAGCTTAGTGGCTAACGGGGAACTTAACCCTCCTTAATTACTGTGTTGGAGAATACTTGCCAACTAAAAGTACCTCACTTGAACTCTGACCGTAAACCAAGACTTTCACCAGGGCTGAACGACGGTTAAACCAGTTCTGAACTGAGGTTAAGTGAAGGTTAAACTAAGGTTAAAATTCGAGTACCTCACTTAAACTCTGACCTTAAACCAAGACTTTCGCCAGGGCTGAACCACGGTTAAAGGTCTAAACTGATTTTAAGCGAAGGTTAAACTAAGGTTAAAGTTGAAGCAAGTATCTCACTTAAACCAAGACTAGACAAGGTTAAACGACGGTTAAACCAAGGTTAAACAACGGTTAAACCAAGGTTAAATGACGGTTAAACCAAGGCTAAACTAAGGCGAAGCGAAAGTTCAACAACAGTTCAACCAAGTGTAACTGACTGTTAAATCAAGGCTAAACTAAGGTTAAACTAAGGTTAAAAAAAGGTTAAACTAAGGTGAAAAAAAACGGTTAAACCAAAGTTTATCTAAGGTTAAACGACGGGCTGTGTTTGGCGGTTTCTAACTGTCGGCATCTGGACTGTGAACACGTGGCTGTTTGTGATTGGTCTTCTCCCTCTGTTTGAGATAAGGCAGGTAATGTTCAAGGGCTGCGTCCAGGAGAAGAGGGAACTAATAGATCACCTGCTGAATTACGTTGATAATCCTGAGAAACCTCTGCCGAAGCTACCAAAGGTACGAGCGGGGCATCACTTGTCCCCATCCCACCGGCATTCCCATCTCACCACCTCACACTTCCACTGCTTTTTTTTTTTTCCCCTTTCCAAAAGGGGGTAGAACAGCGATTTCAACAAAATGGCCTTTCTTTTTTTTTTTGAAGTTTGAACGAAGATGAAACCGACTAAATTGGCCCGACCGAGGTTGAAATTTAATATTTATATTATAGCTTTTGAGGGTACACCGTTCTTAAAATGCCCTACCCCCTGGATGTATCTGGATTCTGGACGTTCCTGGAGTACCATTACTGTATTCCTCTAATTCCATCAGGATTCAAGCTCCTGATCTGTTTATCAACAGCTGTTACATGTTTATAGTACTGTGTACCACTCACCCCCAAGAGCTGGGCTACTGTGCTGCTACCCTACCACTTTGCTCCTCTAGGTTTATGAATAAACGGCTGAAGCAGTCCACGGTTGTTTTTGTCCTTCTTCGTCCTCTTTTTTTTTTGCCTACGAGCCTACGAGCCTACGAGCCTACGAGCCTACGAGGCTGCGAGGCTGCGAGGCTACGAGTTCAATTTACCTCTGCCAAGGCTCTATGATATAGTGGGCTTCTCTCTACTGCACAACATCCTAAATGTAT